GCCTAGAAACGTTTCTACCTTCCTTATAGTCTGCTTATAGCTATCTGCATGATTGGATAGAAATCCTCACGTTATCTTCACATACATAACGACATATTTGCTTTTCTGGAGGCCCAGAACAAACATTCTCCCATCTTTCCCCAGCCAAGGGACCCTGTGTATAACAGCCTCACTCTCCCATGTTTTTTTCCTGGCTGGTCCCCAGAGTACAAGGCACAGGATGACTTACTCCGACTCACCCTGATTTTCGACCCATACTCTGGGTAGAAAGTCTGCCCACACCTAACCCTTGAGGTGTCCAGCTGTAGGTGACAATGCCTGAAGGGAAACATTTGGTAAGTCACATTAGTTGAGGCTAAGATATCTTTGTCTGATAGAACCATGTGATAATGGACCCAAGAATGACCATTGATCCTTTTCCCATATTCTGACCTTACCTGGAACCCTGTGCTCTCAGATTTTGTGGGGGTGTCTGGTAGATGTGACAGTGACAACAGTTTGATCTTGTGAAGGATTAGGATATCGGGATGCTTCTTAATTCCTACTGTTAGATGAAACAGTTATAAATAAATATAAATTAACCAAAATGAAGTGTCCATCTTTGATTTAGAATTAGTTGTATTATCTTAACTGCTACTGTGGGTCTCTTCTGCTTACTTTCAAATAGGTCATCTACTACATGGGAGAAACATGGATTTTGGAATATTTCTTGGGTAAGTAAAGAACACATTATGTATCATTCTATAAGAAGAGTAGATTATATTACATTGATGAAAAGTAAGTCCCAAGTCATGCCCAAAATATGACCATAAGTGAAGATAAATGGATTGCTAAATGTTAAGATAAGATGGGCACAGTTTTACTTAGTTACTTGAGGCTTTTATCTGAGTTGTATCTAGTGAAAAGAAATCTGGAGGATGCTTGAAGGCCACACATGCATGTCTGCATTCTATTTTATTTGTCATCTTGACCTTTCAGAAAAAATAAGAACTTTGTAATTAGAGACCCAAACTGAATGTGGGGCTCACTTTTTATAGGCTGTGTGACATTGGGAGAGTTACTTAACTTCTCTGAGCCTCAGCTTTATCATCTGGAAAATAGGGGATGAAACCACTCATATTGTAAAGGTGTTGTTAGGATGGATCATGGCGATTAGGTAGATCAAGCACATAGTGTCATGCCTGGCTTTCATCACTGTATTCATCATCATTACCATCATTGTTCTTAAGTGTCACTGAAATTTGTCTTTTGTAGGTGGAACACAAATAATAATACCTGGGTCGTAACTGAGGAACTAAAACCTTTAACAGTGAACTTGGACTTCCAAAGAAACAATAAAACTGTCTTCAAGGCTTCAAGCTTTGCTGGCTATGTGGGCATGTTAACAGGATTCAAACCAGTAAGGACTCTATTGTCATATAATTTTAAAGGTAGCTTTGTGTCCTGCTTTTAGTATATGTAAAGAAAGGGGGAGTCTAAGAAAATGAGACCCTGAGAATATGGAGCCGCAGTTCATCCCTTTGTACTTCTTGTCCCTTTCCCAGGTTTAAGATTGCATGGTAGAGAAGAGTAGAAAGGAAGTGAAGGTTTCTGAGCCTGTTCTGGGATAAGGAGCATGTGGCGAGGTGTCACAGGGATCAGAGTCTGGGTCTGCTGCTCGCTTAGGCAAGTCAGGCGTTAATTCTCTGCTCCTTAGTTTCCTGTCTGAAAGGTGTAGCCAATAATATCCCACCTACTTATCTCACACACTAGACATGCAAATGCTTTAAACTTTGAAAAAAAGCCGTGTTAACATACGGTTTTATCTTTGCATTTCCCACTACCCAACCCTTTATATACCACTATAAAGTACAGTGATAGGGCCTTAAAGAGGAAGGTTGGAGTTTCTGACTTCATCGCTTTGTCTTTTTCTCAGGGACTGTTTAGTCTGACACTAAATGAACGCTTCAGTATAAATGGTGGTTATCTGGGTGAGTAGAGTGTTCCCAAGTGAACTGGGGGTTTCACAACTGTTTTACTAGGAGGACTGGACTATGCCTTCTGGTTAAGTAGTCTAACCTTTTCCAGATCCTGACCCTGTGTTTGATCTCTTCCAGGTGTCCTAGAATGGATTATGGGAAAGAAAGATGCCATGTGGATAGGGTTTATCACTAGATCAGTTCTGGAAAATAGTACTAGGTAAAGTGGTTGGTTGCTTTATTATCAAATATTTGCTGTAAATTACTCCTATTAAAATATAAAAATATTTCCCAAGCTTCAGCTTAACATCCGTTGAGGAACTGTTGCAGAATGTCTCAGGTGAACCTTGACACTTGTGGAATTATTCATGTTTTCTCTGTGAGCATTGTGTTTTTATAGTGAGGAAATGAATTCTTAAAAGGTACTAGGGATGTCGACACTATATGAAGGGCACCTATGAGTGTTTTTGGTGTACAAAAATAATCACCCATACACAAGAGAAAAATTGTACAATAAAATCTTCATCTACATGGTAATACATATTAATCTAGAAGTTATATTCTGCTCTGGTACAGAAGAAATTTTACAATAGCAAAATTGCCTTTCCTTCAGCCTGCGCTGAATCCAAATCACTTAGAATAAATGAGTATCAATCCTATTTTTAGTATCTTCCAGGGAATAAGATTTAGTAGTTTTCTTTGATAATCCATTTCAATTTTTAATAGCCCCAATTTTCAAGGTTTACTAAGTCCTATATTCTGCAATTAATATTATTTCCCTTTATTGTTGAGTGAAAGGCATGGACCATAAGGGTGGAGGATGATATCTTGAGGCCATTTTGTTTCTTCTTCAGATTTGAGGGACCTTCCAAAATTCCCTCTTCCCATCTCAGTATTTTACCTCACAAGAGTCAGAGATTTTTCCTCCCAGAGCTATTGCTTACCATCCTTTTTTAAGAAACATATTCCTTAGACACTTGGTTTCCTTTAGTTTCCACAGAGCTAAACACTTCCATTACAAGTCAACTAAAATTTTTTTAAACGTTTCTATGTAGTTATGAAGAAGCCAAGAATATATTGACCAAGACCAAGATACTGGCCCCAGCGTACTTTATCCTGGGAGGCAACCAGTCTGGGGAAGGTTGTGTGATTACACGAGACAGAAAAAAATCTTTGGATGTATATGAGTAAGTACATTTGTTAAAGCAAAATAAGTAGAAACTAAAGCATAAACTGACATACGCACAAGTTTAAGGCATGTAGCCTAAGAGGGAATCTCTCTTTTTGTATCCAGACTTGATCCTAAGCAGGGTCGATGGTATGTGGTAGAAACAAATTACGACCGTTGGAAAAACCCCTTCTTCCTTGATGACCGAAGGACAGCTGCACAGATGTGTCTAAACCGCATAACCCGAGAGGTACATTTACAGTGTCATATACAGAAAGAAACTGTCACCGTTAAAGATTATCTCAGTTCTGGCATTTTTCTTTGGCCTTTATAAACCTCATGTTTATTCAGTATCTCTAGACAATCTCCACTGAGTTTTTGTTTTTACTTTTTAACTTAAAAAGAGCAAAATTTTGCTGTACTTTCCCTTTCTTATTCTAATGCTGGATACCGCTCTGTGAAGTTGAATAACAAACAGGCAAGAATTTAGAAAGGGGACGAAGAGAGAGAAAGAAAAGTAATACAGTAAAACTGTTACCTGTTCCAACAATGACCCCAAGGGAAATTCTGTTAGGGGGATTGGGGGGAGGTTGATTGAAGAACGTCTTGGTTTATAATGACCCACTTGTGTGGATAAGGCTGCTGACTTCTGTATTTAATTTACTGAACAAAACTATTTTTGTGTTTTAGAATATCTCATTTGCAACCCTATATGATGTCCTGTCAACAAAACCTGTCCTCAACAAGGTATTTTAAAAAATCTATGTATATATATTTTTTTCTTTTAGAGAAAGAATTTGGTCCTATGTTTTATCTTTCCCTGTTATATCAGTTTGAGCACAGAACTTATGTTTTTGTAAAACATATGGCTGATTTTTAAAAAATGTTTTTGTGTGGCTAAAACCATAACTTTTGCAATGCAACAAAGAAGTTGATCACCGTGGTTTGATGTCCGAATTGTTCAGAGTATTGTTTACAGCTTTACTTATGCGGCACTTGAGTTAAGCCTAGCATTTGATTCTTGACTTCTTCTATCTGTCAGAAACCTCATGCTGTACTCACAACTAACACCTAGAAGTTCACAAAACAAAGTTTTAAATCCATTTTCACACAGAGCTCTGTGTCTTGTTGGATTAGGGTTTCCCTTAAACTTTATTATATCCTTTTATCTTTTCTTCATACTACAGATAAAAAAATGCAAAACATTTTCTCTAATCATCCCATTTGCTAATAGTCATGCCTCGAATGTTCTGGATGTGCTTCCCTGATTATCCCACTTGTTCCTTCTCTTCTTGGTCCTTTTCCCTAGCTCTCCCTCAAATAAACATGCCTCTAGTGCCCCCGCCAGAACAAAGTCCTACTGTCCTTTAGCATTCAGATCATCCCGGTTTCCGCAGAAAGCCTGTCTTCAGCTCGTGGACCCTGCCCTCCCTCCCACTCCTCCCATATCGTCTCTGTGTGAGCTCACAGTCTGTGACCTCCATGTGAGTTTGCGTGTGTGCTTCGTAATCTGTGTGCCTGCAGTTTCCCTCACTGTATTGGAAATGTTGTAAGGATAAGGATAACCAAAGCTAAACTGTTTATGCTCCATGGTATCAATACACCATTCGGCTTGGCATGACTGTCAGTTATACATTGAGGAGGGTTAAGTTAGCCTTAAAGCACTGGTGGTGCAGCAGCGTGCTGCCCAGGAACGAGCTCCTGTGAAGAACTGGGATTCTCTCCTGAGATTATTTATGTTCATGACCTGGAACAATGGTTCTATTGAAGTTGGTTGCTTTAATTAGTAATATATAATAATTATTTAATATCATATAGTAATATAATATACATTAATATAAATATATTGACTATATAATACATTACATATATCATTATTATTTAATATCAAGTAGTTAATTTAATAAAGCGAATTCTGTAAGTCAGAACATCTTGGAATCGAAAACATCCTTAAAGTGAAAATAATTTTCTTTCAGCTGACTGCATTCACAACGTTGATAGATGTCACCAAAGGTCAGTATGAAGCTTACCTGCGGGACTGCCCAGACCCTTGCATAGGTTGGTGAGCACACGCCTGGCCCGCAGAGCGCGCCGCTGAGACGCGAAGACTCGACTGCAGACGTGGCTACTAGTGCAGCCGTCGGAGCTTCCCCAGACTCAGACTCAGGACAGGTTCTGTGTGTCTTGAGCTTGTCCTCCATGTGTTTCCAGTTTACAGACTGTTTTTGCCCTAACAGGTGATTTTTCTTATTTACAGGTAACTTCTTAAAGTGAAGTAAAACAATCATCTAGAATTTTCTTAGTTTCATTTCACTTTGACATTTAGGGATGGGAATGGGCAATTAAACCACGTGGGATCCACCTCCATGTAACAAATCAAGATTCTCTGTGGGTGTTTAATCCAGTGTGTCTGTGTGAGTACTGTAAAAGCAAATGTCCACGCTATTCAGTTTTTCATTTTTATCTACATATTTGTATGTTTTTCTATATAGCAGTCTTTTCCTCTGGTTCTAACTACTACTAAAATTAATATACCGTTGTTGTCTTTGCTGTTAATGACAATATAATTTCACTACACGTGATCAGGGGGATGAGACAGACATTCAACTGTGTATTTCTTTTAATGGGCAATAAATGGTCCTTTGACTCTGTAAATAGTACTTTTTGGGGTTCATGAAGTGAGCAGTATGCAAGGTGGTCTTTTATACAAAGAAATGAAGTGTTCCTTTTTTCGTAATTTCTCTACCTCCCATTAGCCCCAGGAAGTTGCTAACTTCAAAAACTGAATTCCCAGGTTCTGTGAGTTAGAAAATAAACATGTCAAAGACTTGTGCAAAGTAGGAAGTGAACTCATTTATTTTAAGTATCATTCATTTTTATACTTCTGATCAATATGTATTTTTTTAAAACTTTTAGTGTAATTATTAAAAATGTTTTTCAGAAATCTACTTATGAAAAGTGCCAATAGAACTTGTTAACCTTTCTAACTTTCACAATTAACTGTGAAATGTATGCCATTTGTGCAAGACTGTGTCCACTTCATTTTGTATAATCTGTTGTAATAATGACACTCAATAAACAGTCAATGGAATTGGTGTCAGTCAGCAGTCATGCATGCTGATTGGGTGTGTACATATATGTTGGTTTGAGGGTGGGGGGTTATTAGCGAGAAATACAAGCTGAACATGGTATCTGAATTAAATAGCAAGGGTTATGTAAGTGAGTTACTATTAAATGTATGACTAAATGGTCATAATCTTACATAACTAATAGTTATCACCTCTTAACCCAGTTTGCAGGTGTCCAAAGGCAGCTTTTCCCCCAGATAGGAGGCACTTCCACAAAACTATAGTGATTCCAATATTATTGAAGCAAGAGGAATTACAAGAGGATTTGTGTTAAAACAGGGTTCGATTAATAAAAAAAACTTCAGATTTTGTACCTCTTATAAAAATGAAGTGAGGTAAACTTGATGTATTTTTTAAAATACAGTAACCTTTGATATGCATGATAATAAAGAAGTGAGGTGCTAATTGTTTCAGACTGATTCCTCAGGAGTGAATCAAAGAGTTTGGAGAAAATAATAGGTATTAAAATTATAGGTAGTGTTGTTTAGTGGTAAGGCATTTTATAAAATAGGATATACAGTATAAGCCTATTTACTTAACATTTTATACATGTATTTATGTATAACCAAATATACATCTAGAATATAAAAAGATGACTGGGAGAATGTTAACCAAAATGTTGACTGGTTCCCCCTGGATAGTAGCAAGTGCTATTTTAAGTTTGAAAGCACAAAACTTAATAGTTACAAACATTTATACTTGTAATCCCACTTGCCGAGGATGAAGGTAAGGTTAACTTGCTCAAAGTCGCACTCACAGAAGGGGAACTTGGGGGACAAGTGGAACTGATGGCAAACCTGAAGCTCATGCTGCCTAATGTGCCTGGAGTCCTTTGCCTCTGACCTAGGAGTCTGTGAGGGTCCACGAAGCTGTGGCAGGCTAGCTCATTAGCTTGCAAGCAGGGTAAAAATCACCCTTCATGGTTCTTGATGACAGTGTACTGCACTTGAATTGTAAGTATGCCTTGAGATACTGATCCCTCAACCTTGGGGCACCTAGGCAAGTCCTAGGCATGCAAGCCCCCAGCCCCCAGGCGAGCTGCCTCCTGCTAGCCTCCTCTGGGGCTCCTTGGAGGGCAGGCTTGAGCAGAGTGGGATAGACTGCATCGCCCACCCTGTGGTCTCACCAGGCTGGGGAAGGAGGTGGGGCACACAAGGCATCGAGCAAGTTGGTACGAATCACTGGCCCTGCGGACCAGAAGCGACCTGAGCCAAGTAGATTTTGCCTATCTCAAATACAGAGTCCACAAAAAGATATCTAGCCACTCAGACCTCATTGGTGAGTTCTCTCACTTCTTTTTCACCAGGACCCAAACCTGTCTCGCTGGCAGCAGTAACACCTAGAAGTTGCTGCACCCTTAGGAAGGTTGAGCAAGACCGAGCAGGTGCCCTAACACCTGGCCTTCTGCAGCTCTCACCTCTGGGTGGACAAGGGACCTGTGGCATAGCTGGAGTACATGTTCTAGGTACTACGGAGCCCAGCACACGGCCCCACTGCAGAGGTGGTTGAGACGCATGGGGGCAGTGTGGGCTCCTGGTGAATTCAGCTCCAGGTGGCAGCCAGAACCTTCACATACATCTGACTCCTCTGTCAGATGGAGCTGACAGGCCAATTTGGAGGCATCCAAGCTAGGTGCCCGTGACTGTTCTAACAATGTATGTGCTTTCTGAAAAATAAGGCATCATTATTTTGAAAATAAGATGCAAATTTTGATTTCAAAACACTTTCCCTAAGATACTTTAGTATTACACTTTTCAGTGAAAGAAAAGGCTATTAATCTTCAAATATAATTTCAACATCTGTAAATTCTTGAATGGTTGTCAATATATTTTAAATTTATCACCCAATTAAACATACAAAATTGATCTTCAATGATTTTCAAAAATTTAAAGCAATTATAAAGTCTCGATCAATAATTGTGTATAGCAATTTCAAATAGAAAATATGCTATAAAAAATGCTAAATCTGTAGTTTAAAATATTTGATGTGTTGTATCTTCCCTGATACTTTGTCTTTTGTTCATAATTTATACATTTCATATAATTATTTAATATAAAGGAAATGTAATGAATTTTTACCAAATCCTCACATCCACTCCAGTTCACCTTGGCGTCCCTCACAAACACTGTCCTTGCCTGTATGTGCCGTGGCATGCAAACAGGCTGGAAAACATCAGAGCTCTGATTCCTCTATCACCAGTTAGGTTGACGGGGGACAAGTCACTTAACTTCCTTGTGCCTTTATATTTGCTTTTGTAAAATGAGGGGTTAGTCCCAATTTTCTCTTAAGGGTTTTTCTAGCTTTATAAATCTACATTTAAACTTTATTTCAGGTTAGCAGGGAACTCAGTAGTCACCAACACCCAGGCGTGGCTGGACACATCAGGACCACTGTAGTGTGTGTTACTCATACACATGAGTGAATCCAGTCAAAATTTTCATACCAAGTATTTCAAAATGATGATGCTCATTGGCAGAAAGCACATTGAGCAGTCATGGGCAGCTAGCTCAGATGTCCACAAAACTGCCTATCGGCTGCAAATGACATTGTTTTTATACGTACATAACATATATAACACCATGTTTATTTTATATACATATATAGAATTTATATATATAATATATATGTCATTTGTACACACAGAGATTGACAGTAAATATGTTTAATTTTGATAACGTAGTAACTGAGTTCAATGCCAACCCTGTTTGAATATCAGAAAAACATAATAAATTCAACTTATGCTCTATGATAGTCCAGTGAGCTACACAATTTCAGCCCTTCCCATGTTATAGATAACAAATAATGAGACTGGGTTGATAGCATTATTTCAAAATATTATGATAAGAGATAGGAGTCCTAACAAGTCAACATGCCCGAGGTGTGAGGGGTGAATGAAATCTCACTACGTCAAAGGGCAATAACCAACGAGAAATAACTTGGTGCCAATACCAGTTTCTGTTTTTCACATATGCTGGTACAATGGACCGTATTACCAAATGGAATAAGTGAGACTTTTTACCTTAGTTACTGAGAAACAGCATGTAAATCTAACATCCAGTGTGAATGGCTCTGTCATTATCAGTAGAGACTTAAATTTATTGTCTTAGTACAGAGAATCAAGTTTCAGTATTTAATTACATTTTTGTTTCTAATTATTAACTTACAGTTGCTGGGTGGCATCCCTCTTCATGGATCTTAACAAATGAAAGGAAGAATGCTCCTTTCCATTTTTTTCCTCCTTTTCCACTCCCTCTCTGGTGACTATTGTGTCACAGAAGGAAGCTGCTGTCATCAAAGAGGATTAATTAAATCATTGCCTTGGGCAAGGGCTGCTAAAAGTTGGTTGATACAAGAGCTTGAAGCCAGACTTTGCAGCTATTTGGAAAAGGACATAATTCTCTTGTCTCTAGTTACAGAGAATGTTATAATCCATTTTTCACTCTTAGTAAAGCCTATTAGTTCTCCTCAGAAGAGCCAGCACTGGGTTAGTAAAAAAGGCTCGATTCAAAGATATCTATGAAAACGCTGAGAAGAGTATAAATGGGTTCTTTGGCTGCAGGTGAGTAAAGGTTGGATACTCCATGGCTTCCACTTTTCCTGTGTACCTTGGAGTTGGGATGAGGGGGTATGTGAGTAGTAACTAATAGCAAGGCTGGGGCAATAATAATTAGTAACTACAGGGTTGACTCAGGTGATAAGGCAAATTCCCTAAACATTCGGGTACAGAGTGGTTTGTGCCCATATGGCTTGGCTCATAATCCACCAAAAAGTGGCTGATCACAGATTCTGTGAATCATTCACGGACTTTAAATTCTGGTAGCAGCTACTCGACTGCTTGTTCGTATCACCATGAGCACTATCAACAGGTAGGCAAATGAAGAAAATTAGGCTGAAATAAATTAAAATGTTCCTTGCTAATATCTCTAAAACAGGAATAAAAACTAGGATGGGAAAGAAATTACAATATTGTAATGACTAGTGGATTTTTTTCACAAATTAGTTATCAGTTATTCCTAACTAGCACCCTCTGAAAACTTTCCTTTATGAGCTTCCTGTTAAATATTTAACCATGATTTTACAGTAAATTATCATTTGAGTATCTTACAATTTTTTACCACTGTAATTGTATTGATTTTAGAAATCTCCGTGTATTTACTACACTTACGAGAATGCCAGCTAATTTGATGAGTTCTGAACTAAAGAGATTTTTGGATTCTGGCTGCATAAAGCCTCAGCTATCTTCATACTCCTTGCAAACCCTACTCAATGGGAAACACCACAAAATCCTCTAAGAGCACATTGTAGAAAGCCTTCGTAAAGCCGTAATTAATGGGTCAGCTGTAATTAGTGGGTCAGTAGAGTTTATTAGTACTGTTAAAGCTGAATTACAGACCACTGGCAAGCTTATAGAGGCTTACTGAGGACTTGGATTTTTTGTCTTCTGCTAGGTTCCTTGTCGCCCCAGCAGGTGCCTTTTGGCACACGGCCACACTTGAGGCAGCACACATGGCAGAGATTCAAAGGCAGCAAGCCTGCCCTCTGGAAAAGCAAAGGCTACATACACAACAGGCCTCCGGGGTAATGTGCTGTGGGTTGCTCTCGAAGATCAAGGGAAAATTTGACTCGGCACAATGGGTTAAGTAAAAATGTTTAAAACCAGGACACAGAAGAAAAATTAGACAAACTCTTCCAGGACACAGCAAGCATAGCT